ATTTATGGCCGACTTCACCTCCCTCTGTGATCTCCTGGGCTGTGTATTCTTGTCCATGGGGGAAACATCAGGGGAATCCATATCTCCTGCTTGTATTCCTTCTTCCTCAACATCAACCATGTCAGCCTCGTCCGAGTCATCTCCATGATAAGGTACGTGTCCTGAGTCCTGTCCATCATCATCATCTCCCTCATTTTCATCATCACCATCATCAGCTTCATCTTCTCCCTTATATTCAGCTCCAACTTCACTAGGGCCCTTATCTCCCACAGTACGATTTTCCTCCATCGTTATGTGCACCTTATGTAGCTCATCCTCTACTGCACTAACAAGTCTCTTGTAGCTTAAATCAATTACAGCCATCAACTTTTGATGTAAGCTTTGCAACTCCTGCATCACATCATTAAAAAAAGGTCAAACACTTTATCTTGTTAATGCACATTGAAATTACGAAGCAAATAAACACATCGGGTGTAAGTCAGCGACACTTCTCCTTCTTCTCTCCTCATCTCCAACCCTAACTTTCGAGCCCTTCTGCTTATACAATAGGCCTCTGTTGCTCTGCCTTTCCTTCTTTGTCATCTCCTTTATCCTCTCATCAGTCCAGAATTGAATAGCACTTATTGACCCATCTCTAACAGATTTAGATAATGGGAAGCGCTCAGCAAGATATAACTGCAACATCAAATTATTAATTTTATCATCACTCCATTCAAACATAGAACAAAAAACAATGGTAGTAAATACATACCAATAAGAGGTAGATGCATCCTTCGACGTTGCAACTCCCTTCATCATTGTCTTCCCCTACGTTTCTATACACTTCAACATAATCTTCCATCTCTTTCCACAAGTTGTTCACAATGTATGTGGCCCAATCAAATTGGTGAAATTCATGCATAGTACAACACATCACCCTTACTAGCTTGTCACTCACTGTTGTTTGTGAGGTAGGAGCTAGAAAACTCCCAAGTGTGTACAGCATGAACAAGAACTCGAAATTCTCCTCATTCTCCCCAGATTTAATGTCTTTGAGTATCTTGGTAAAAGAGACTTTACCATATTCATTCTTCAACCTCTTATATGTTTCATCATCATCATCCACATCCGTTCTTACCTTTTCCCCTGTGTGGGGTACCTCCAACAACTCCGCAACATCTTGTGCATCAATTTCCTTGATCTTCCCCCTTATTGTAAATTGATGAGTAGGCGGATCATATGCTCGAAGAATGCGTACTATGAGGTCACGAGGGAGTCTCTCACATCCCATGTCAAGCAAACTTGCAAATCCCAAACTTTGTACCTTGGCTTTCAATCTGTCATTGCTATTTATAAATTCCACCAATGACTTGTATTGCCGGACTGAGCAACGGGTGCTAAAAGCAACTTTTTTCATCCGCTTCTTCTTCGTCCCTTGCTTCTTTGGTTTGTTCACTTTATCATTATACTTCTTCCTCTCCTCTGGTGGCAGCTCCCTCCATGCCTTTGCTCCCTCCCTAACTTCTTCTCTCCTATTCCTAAACTCTTTGCCCGCCTTAAATTCATGCAGAAACAGCATGTACCCACTCTTTACTTGTCTACTTCCCTCTCCTTGTCCTTCTACTTGTACTTGTAACTCCATTTTCCCTGCTGCAATGACACCACTTGTTAGTCATTCATAGTACTATATTTCTTTCACAACAATGTCGTCAATTCCATCAACAAATGTGGTCAATTACACTAACAAATATAGTAAATTTTATTAACATATCATCAAAATACCATTGTCCACTCAATTAACAAGTGTAGTCAAGTCCACTAACAAATGTAGTAAATATCATTAACATATCACCTACAAAACCATTGCACAGTCAAATGAATTCGTATCACGACGATGTTGTTATTCCTGTAACAAATCTGGTCACTTTCATTGACTAATGTAGTAAATTCCACTAATAAATGTTGTAAATATCATTAACATATCACCTACAAAACTATTGCAGAGTCAAATGAATTTGCATCACGGCGATGTTGTCATTCCCATAACAAATCAGGTCACTTTCATTGACTAATGTAGTAAATTCCACTAATAAATGTAGTAAATCTCATTAACCTGACCTACAAAACCGTTACACAGTCAACTGTATTTGCATCTGCTCACTTTCATTGACTAATGTAGTAAATTCCACTAATAAATCTAGTAAATCTCATTAACCTGACTTGCAAAACCATTGCACAGTCAAATGAATTTGCATCTAGTCACTTTCATTGACTGATGTAGTAAATTCCACTAATAAATGTAGTAAATCTCATTAACGTGACCTACAAAACCGTTGCACAGTCAACTGAATTTGCATCTGCTCACTTTCATTGACTGATGTAGTAAATTCCACTAATAAATGTAGTAAATCTCATTAACATGACCTACAAAACCATTACATAGTCAAATGAATTCGCAGCACGACGTTGTTATTCCCCTAGCAAAACTGGTCACTTTCATTGACTAATGTAGTAAATTCCACTAATAAATGTAGTAAATCTCATTAACATGACCTACAAAACCATTGCACAGTTAAATGAATTTGCATCACGACAATGTTGTTATTCCCGTAACAAATCTGGTTACTTTCATTGACTGATGTAGTAAATTTCAGTAATATATCACCTCAATATCATTGTCCACTCAATTGAATTTGCATCACAAGCATGTTGTCATTCCCTTACCAAATCTATTATTTTCCATTGCCGAATGTAGTCAATTACTCTAATTAATGTTGTAAATTTCATTAACATATCAGTTAACAAATGTAATCATTGCCAACACAAATTTAGTCCTTCTCAGACCAACAGTTGTTATTTCAAAACCAAACCCGCTAGTACTATTTACTACTTACCTCATCAAATTTACTACTCGGCTAATAGAATTACTGCTTGCTAAATTACTACAACAGGATAACCTTTGCAAATTTTACCCACGCAAGGACAAACTTTTCACCCTAAACCATTCAATGAAAATGAAAGTAACTTTGTCATTGCCGCGCATGCAGACCAAATTAGTGGAATTCTACTTCCTTAAAATCCCACCCTCTCCACATAGAAAGCTATACTCTTTTTAGAAAAGTCAATTAACACCGACAAAACTATCCTTTCCATTTTGTTCTTTTCCTTCAAATCAAAATAAACCAATCCCCACAACAAAAGCAATCCCCTGTTCCAATTAAAGGCCACCCAAAATGGATTAAACACTATCAATCACAATCATTTCCAAATATGTACACAACCAAACACATCAGCAATAACATGGAAACAACTTTTTTCGTCCTAGAGCAACTTTTATGGGAACAACAAAGACGGAACCACAAAGAGCATCACTGCATAATTACATTTTAAGCTTCAGGGACCCATCAAAAATGCTCTATGAACAACAATATTCAAGTTCCCTACCTGTTTAGTTTCGAAAGCGACGGCGGCAATGTGATTTCGGCGACCGCTTTTTCGTTACTAGAGGACCTTCGATTTGGTTTCGCCGAGTGGGGGCACTTTCTGTTTCGGTGGGTTGCTCTCGTCGGGTCGGCGGGTTGCTTTCGTCGACTAGGGGAGGTAGTTCTAGTTCCTGTTTCACTTAGTGGGGGGTTGCTTTCGCTGAGTGGAAGCAGTTCCTCTTTCGTCGACTGGGGTGTTGTTTTCGCCGAGGAGTCGGTTTCCTCCTTTTCTCCATCTCCTCAAGTTTCAAACATCTTAAGGGTATTTCAGTCTTTTGGCCGAAAATATTAATTCCAGATTGGTTCCCAGTAACCTCCTTGTCATTTTGCTTATTCAGGACCCTTATTTGTCTTTTTGGAATTCAAGTGGTATTTTATTGTCATTTTCCCAAAAAGTTTCTTCATCAAAAAATAAAATAAAATAAAATAAGACGGGAAGAAAAAGAGACCTCAAGTGACTAGCTTCCTATTCAACAGACCGGAATAGGGTTTAATATTAGAAAAAATTGTAATAAAGTCCAACTCAAGAGAATTAAATACAAAAAAGTTTTTTGAAATCATTAAATTATTTTGAAGTCTTAAGAGACCTCATTGGAAGAGATTTTAATTGCTTACCAAATTGCCCTTATTTCTTTTTTAAGTATACATTGACAACTAAAAAAGCAATTGTTAACAATTTAAGCTGTAACAATTAACAACTATTATGACAGGTATTAACAATACATTTTTTCAGCAGATCACAAAAAATGTAATGTATGAATTGTCAATATCTGCCGTGATAATTGTTGATCATCACACCTTAAGTTATCAATGTATATTTTAAAAAAATGTTATGGGTAATTTGGTAATTAAACAAATGAAATCTTTCCTTGGGACTTCATAATAATTTGATGATTTTAAGAGATTTTTTAATATTTAATTCTCTACTATAAGACCTTATTGCAATTTTTTCTTAATATTTTCTCTTTCCACGTGTGAATTAGGGGTATTGTCTTTCTGGGATAATGCCCAAAACTCAGGTAAAAATAAAAAGTGAATATTTTTTGAAGTAAAAATAAATAAATAAAAAGAAGACAACATTAAACAAGGGGGAAATTTTGACCATGTGGAATATGGACGACAATAACAAACAAAGGACAGCACGTCCAAACTACAAATGTTGAGACTACTCATCATTAGATTTGAAGAATTGACTCTAAAGTTAACGAATTTGAAATTTGAAATAGAAATAGAACTATCATTACTTTGGGCATTCGAAGCTCATCATATCTAGATCATTTATATCTTATTTTAATAGTTCAGATTTGATTTTTTCTATTTTTATTTGTTTAAAATAATTATTTTAATATGTATAAAATATAAAATAAAGATAATCTCTTAACTATCATTCTTTTAAAAATAATTTTTTTATTTAAAAATAATTAATTAAATATTTTAAATCTGAATTATTCAAATCAAATATAGACAGTTTAGATTTGATAAGTTTTTAGTACTCATTAAGGTAATGAGTACTGAAACTGCTTCCACATTGATATTTACCCCCCTCTTTGTAACAGAGTGGTTGACACTGATGGCAAGGAACAAGAGGGTTCCATTAGCTGGCATCTGGTAAAGCCTCTCAGTAGCATCGGCTGTCTTCACAGAGACACCAACTAGTCTCTCCTTCGTCTTGTGGTACCTTATGGGATCAGCCTCCAACCCAGCCCTAATCATACTGAGAACAATGTGGAAGTGGAACTCAGTGTTATCAGTAGAAGACAGGTCCGGAAACTTACCAGTCTTCGCATATATCTCCTCAACTTTCACACCCTCATGGATCAAGAAGGTGGTGTCGCCACCGTCACCAACTATCAGATCCGGACCACTACCAGGACCCCAGTCAAGGGCACGTTCGGTACACCACCAGTACTCCTGAAGAGTCTCCCCCTTCCAAGCGAAGATGGAGGCGTTGTCACGAGCGATGGCGGTGGCAGCGTGATCCTGAGTGGAGGAGATGCAGCGAACTTCGGCTCCAAGAGCAATTAGAGTTTCGATGAGGACAATGGTTTGAATGGTCATGGGGAGGGAACTGGTGATTCTGGCTCCTTTGAAAGGCTGGAAAGGGTTGAATTCAGCACGGCAAGCCATGAGACCGGGCATTTCCATCTCAACGCTCTCGATCTCTAGGTGGCCAAAGTCTGCCTGAGACAGGTTCTTGACCTTGTATTCACGGCCACCGGTGGTTTTTTGAACATCCAAGGCCATGGCTTTTCTGTGTGGCAACCAAAGAAGAATAGGTAGAGTTGTGCAACAGGAAGAAGAAGTGTGGTAGCCTCGCTTCAGAAGTGGAGCTGGGTATTTATAGCCGTAGGATGCTACTCATCAAAGCAACAATGCAACAGGCACCTCACACCAACTTATTCTTTCAGTACCATTTAGGTATTTTAGACAACCAGCTGGCCTTACCCTAGATTCAACCATACGTGTTTTTGAATAGTTTCAAAGCCCTCACATGTTGCTTGATATATAGGAACCCTTAAGCTTTTACAAGAAAGGATTAATTAAATGATAATTATGCAGGGCTGCTAGAATAAAGTGTCACCCTTTAACGCTACTTTTATTTCAAATCCATGTTTAGTTAATGAAAGAAAAAAAAAACAAAAACAAAAACAAATTAAAAAGGTTGTTTGATGGGAAAATCACAAATAAAGACCCTCGAATTAGCAAAATTACTCTATGGTCACCTGAATAATTCAAATTACCATGAGGGACCTAGTCTCAAATTGCAAATAGCAAATGTTGGTGAAAAGACGAAATTGCCCCTTAGTAAATCAACTTTATTAATGAAGGCTGAGACAAACAATGTGATCGTGGAGAACTTGGAGGAGAAGATTGGTGGTGCACCTGGTTGAGAATCAAGTAAGTAATGTTTGCAATGTTTCTAAGTATACTCTTCTTCTTCTCTACCCTGTAAGACCCAGGAATGTGATGTTGTTCTTGAATGTAGTGAGTGGCATTATGGGTCGTTGGGTGATAGGTATGGAGGGAGTGAGCGGTGGAGTTGATCATGGAATAATATTGTTTGAGGAGGGTTCAGTTGGGTTGAGATTCAAAATATTAGTCTTTGTAGTCAGATTGTTGACATGTGATTTTCATGACGTAAGTTGTCATTGATCTCTATTAGGAATATCATGAATGGGAGAGTGGGGGAGGGGAAATGGAAGGAGGTAATAATTATTAGTTTGAGTGTGAAGTTTAAGATGGTGCAGTGGGGGGAGAGGAGTGAAGATCTTGTCATTTAGAATGTCCAACTTGTAAAACCCTAATGTCAAGTGGGGAAGAGAAGAGTTAGTTGGTCTTGATTTGTAAGTGCAAATTTGATTGAATAAAAGTATACTGAAGCTGATATATTTTTTATATGTAAATTGTTGTTCCAGGTTAGCATGACAAAATGAACTGTAACAATGGGTCATGTTGTTGGAAGGAATTGTTTTGTTTTTTCCATGTTGGTGGTTATTTTGAAAGAAACAGTGAAGGTAAAGTTAAATACGGTGGAGGGAGTGCGAGAGCAAGCAGCATAAAAGAAGGGATAACACTGGAGGAATTAAGGGGGACAATATCACAATGGGTACACAGTGATGCTAAAGGGTGTGAAATTAAGTACATAGTTAAGTTTGCTGAGGGCACACTGATTGATCTTTATCATGAAGGTGATATTTGCAATATGTTTAGATATAACGATGGCAGTGCTCATTTGTATGTAGCAGCGAAAGGGAACCAAAAGGAAGGTGGAGCAGTGTATGATGGAGAAATGTAAGTGGTTAAAGTTTTGTAGTTGATAGTTATTGTTCGATAATGGATTATTGTTAATACCCAAAGAAATGTTGTTATTATGTGTATTGTGTAGCAGTAGAAAGTTGTTATTTGGTAATGAATTGTTGTTAATTTGTATATAAATCTTGTAATTAAGGTAATGAAGTTGTGGTTGGAAGTTGTAATTTGGTAATGAGTTGTTACTAATTTCCATTCAAATGTTGTTATATTGCTTAGTCTGTTGCAGTAGTAAGTTGTTATTTTATAATGAATTTTGATATTTCCCATACAAATCTTGTTATTATGCTAAGTTTGTTATAGTAGAATGTTGTTAGTTCCTAATGTGTTGTTGCTAATTTCTATTCGAATGTTGTTATTACTGGTGTAGGGGTGAGAATTTGTTTGGGCTGTCAGAAGAAATGACTGAAGGTGTGGTGAACCTTGGTGATAACTACGAACCACTTAGTGTTGACTATGGTGTTGAATGCTTAACATATGAAGGAGGGGGTTTAAGTCAAACAAACTTCAGTGACGATTCAGGGAGTGAAGGGACATTGAGGGGTAATTTGAATTGTATGAAATGGGTTGGAGTTATTACAGGAGTGGGGCAATATATTCCACATGCCCAAGCTTTTAGGGAGGCTGTGTACAAGTTTAGTATTGCACAGAAGTTTGCAACGACATATGTGAGAAATAGTAGGAAGAAGCTGAATGTGAGGTGTAAAGTGGAAGGGTGTCCATGGAAGATTTGTGCAAATGCTGTTGGGAGGGATACTCTTTTATTACGCATGATCACATTCGTTAATGAACACATTCATTCAGCGTAAGATAATCTAGATGTCACTTATGCTAGCGATGCTGTGTTGACGTCATCAATAATACTTGAGGAGATAAGGAACCATACCGAAAAGCGTCCTACTGAAATAAGGAAGACACTGGAAAGGGAATATGGTGTGAGGCTAACATATGCTCAAGCTTACAGAGCAAAGGAAAAGGCCATGGAACACATACATGGGAAACCGGAAGAATCCTATATGCTCATACCATGGATATGCCAAAGATTGAAGGAAACTGATGATAAAATAGTTGTTGAATGGGCTGTCATTGGTAATACATTTAAGCGGGTTTTCATTGCATATGGTTCGTGTATTGAGGGTTTTTTGAGTGGTGCAAGGGCTATATTATATGTGGATGGAACTCATTTAAGTGGTCCATATAAGGGAACACTATTGTCAGTGTTGGGATATGATGCAGATAATGACTTATTGCCTTTTGCAATAGTAGTGGTGAAATAAGAGAATCTTGATGACTGGACTTGGTTTCTGCTCAAAATTAAAGAAATTGTTGGTTCGGTACAGGTAACGATTGTGCCAGACCAACACAATTCCACAATAGGAGCTGTTCAAGCAATATTTAAAGGTGAAAGACATGCGTATTGTTATAGGCATGTGAAGGAAAACTTCAGTACTGAACAAGTGAAAGTAAACAAAGGTAAAAGGACAAGCCAATGGTCAAAAGAAGATGCATTAAAGGTTCTTGATAGAGTAGCTTATGTAAGGGTTGACAGTGACTTTGATAATGCAATGGCAGAGCTGAGAACTATGTCTCCTAAGTTACATGATTGGGTTATCAATCAAGATGATGTGAATAGGCGGGCAATGAGCAAGTTCCCATTTAAAAGATGGGACAATATAACAACCAATATAGTTGAGTCTTTCAATGCTTGGATAGTGAAAGAGAGAAAGCATAATGTGGCCCAAATGATCCATGAGCATCGGGAGAAAGTAGCAAGGAAGATGCATGCATCATATATGTTTATGAGTAAGTGGAGGAATTTTGTTGGGCCAAAAACTGAGGCAAAGGTTCTGGAGAATGTGTATTTTAGTAGGTATATGAGCTGTGACAATTATGGAGGCAGAAGACTGTGTGTACATACATCTTGTGGAGATCAAAGAGTAGACCTTGGTATATACTAATGTAGTTGTCTTGGTTAGCAAATGTCAGGAATTCCATGCTTCCATGCTTGTGCAGCCATTAAGACTGTGGGGGGAAATATATATGAATATGTTGAAGACTGTTACAAAATTTCAGCACAGGAGAAAATATATGGCAGGAGCATGGTTCCAGTGGTAACAATCGATATGCCTAACCCAAATAACTATATGTTTGAGAATCTTGTTGAACAAACCCTGCTTTTACCACCAAATACAAGTAGGCCTCCTGGAAGACCAAGGACTAAACGGCAGGAATCACAATTCCAGAATAAAAAAGTCTACCATTGCACCAGATGCCACTAACCTGGACACACGAGGAGGACTTCCAAAAATTCCAACCCATTTTGAAGTTAATTTCTACAAGGGATAACTAATTTTTTGGTGTATATACGCTCCACCCTTATTAATTTTTTTGGGAGAAGGGTGTTGCTAGATTTGTATAGCTACACAGCTATTTTTGCAAGTAATATGTTTGCTGACAAGAGAAAATGAAGTCAACGATGTTGTTAATGTCCTTTTGTTATTGACTATTGCAAAATCTAGTTGTTGTAAACAAACCTCTTACTTTTTGCTAAATGACATTGTATTGCTGTAAATTCCCTTGGTTGTATTGTAAATGCAGACTGCTTACTTGTTATGTCAGAAAATTGAGGTTGCTGTCAAACCACTTGTGCTTTGTGGTTATTTGACTTAGTATTGCTGTAAATTCCCTTGGTTGTATTGTAAATGCATATTGCTTACTTGTTATCTTAGAAAATTGAGGTTGCTGTCAAACCACCTGTGCTTTATGGTTATTTGGCATACTGATGTTGCCAATTGGTTAACCAAACTTGTTATTTCGCAAACTGAAGTTGTCACTGGGTAAACAAAAGTAGAAAGACTGTCATTTAAACAGGAAAAAATGAACTTTACCAATTCCACTTTCGTAGTTGTTATTTCTCAAACTGAAATTGTCATTGGGTAAACAAAAGCGGAAATACTGTCACTTAAACAGGAAAAAATGAACTTCACCAATTCCACTTCCATAGTTGTTATTTAGCAAACTGAAGTTGTCATTGGGTAAACAAAAGTGGAAATATTGTCATTTAAACAAGAAAAAAATGAACTCCACCAATTCCACTTCTGAAGTTGTTATTTCGCTAAGTGAAGTTGTCACTCGTTAAACAATAGTGGAAATAGTGTAACTTCATTACAAAAAATTGAAGTTCATGTATCGCTTAACTGGAGTTGTTATTTAGCATACTAAAGTTGTCAAATGTTAAACAAAAGTGGAAATAGTGTCATTTTGTTATAAAAAAAAGGTACTTCATGTATTGCTTAACGGACTTGTTAATTGACATACTGATGTTGTCATACATTAAAGAAAAGTGGAAATAGCATCACTTCAACACAATTTAAATTATATCAATAAAAATGTTATTTCACCATTATATAATTGTCATAACTAGGTAGCAGTTA